ATGGATGGATTACATTACTGGGTGCAACGTGGTTCCTCCTGGGCAAAAGCAGTCTTTGGCCGCCTCTATATGCAGCGTCGTCACTCAGTAGTTTGGTAAACAGCTGTGTTGAGTGGCATGGTTTTCCTTTTCTAAGTTGGAAGAAAGTATTTCTGACCTAAAGAGCCCCACCGACACCTTCAAACTGAGTTCTGTTGCCTTTGCTAGATTGTTGTTTATTAAAGTTGATTGTGTGGCAGGGATTAGTCTGTGTGTGTGTGTGTGTGTGTGTGTGTGTGTGTGTGTGTGTGTGTGTGTGTGTGTGTTGGCGTTTCTAAATTTACAATAAAGGAGCAGAAATATGGAAATGGTTTAGGTTAGGTTTTATTTCCCAAAGGTCACAAAAGAAATGTCAAATACAAATAAGTACAGTTATTTCAGGCAATAAATAAATTCAGACTGCTAACGAGGTGGGAAGTTGGTGTCACGTACAGTTTTGGAAATGAGGAGAGTCGCACTAGAAAAGCTCCTATTTGTTGATCTGAGCCATGAGCCCCAGCAGCTCTGGACGTTCCTTGAAGCGTGCGCGATAGTCAGCCTCGGTTTGCTGAAACAGAGGGAGGACAGAGGTGAGATACTCCAATTCGGTGGTTGTTCTGTTGTAGGGTTGTTACAGATTGTCAGTGTAAACAGAATATCTAACAGGACAAACATTGCTTGTGGTTATTTTGGTGATTTTATTGATCGAGGCAGTTACACGTCCATGTTGGAGCATTAAGTCCTACAAATAAACAAGTGAGGTACATATAATGAGCCCTGGAGGGCAGGAGGTGATGAACCTGTTCCACCTGCAGGGGACGCTGTAACTAGTAAAGTGAGCGCTCGTGCAATGACGCAGCAATGATTGAATTGGTTAAGATACCTGGAATTGGGGAAATCTGAGACCGAGAGCAGAAAGTTTGAGAGCGCGAGGACACACCTAACTGACAAAAGGGCAGCACTGAGAGACAAAGACAGACTTACATATCTGTCTGCTACTTGAGTGCTACAAACCACGTATTCATCACTACACAGCCAATACAATTAATAATAGTGCCCTAGTGTCTGTTAGTCGCAGGTCTAACACTAACCCTGACCTAGAATCAGTCGTGCTCATGCTAACTCACCTCCTTCACAGACAGTTGGACTCCCTCTGGTTGATTCTTCAGCAGAACATCCATGAAGACGGAGCTCAGAGCGGCGTTGAGGCTGCTCATCTGGAAAAACACAATTCAACAGTCGGGTCCTTGAAATTCCTCAGGACAAAAACAAAGCCTCCAATAATGGAGACTTACAGTGGATTAAAAAGAAAAGTGAGTTCTACCTGGACAACTCTTTGATGAGTCTTTAGGACGGCATCAGCCTCCATCTTGGTGCCCTGCTCGTGTACCAGCATCACCTCTGTGGTCTTGGTTGGTAAAGCGAAGCTGTATGTGGACGGCAGTCATATAGAAAACATCATGACAGCACAGAGAGCATGAACGCAGCTTTTTACTGGACTGCAAAGGTGACAAAGTGAAATCAATGAATCGACAATATATTTTGTTTTTGCATATTAATGTTTTACTACACAGTTTATCTTTTAGGACTTGTAAATGTATTCTTGTTGACGACTGGAGGAGCTCATTCTAAGTGATTTAGGTTTCTATGTATTTCTTTCTTTCTTTCTTTTTTTGGATGAAGCCTAGAATGTTAACATGCAGTCCATCTTTAGACATCTGCCTAAGTTTAATCAGTTTGATTTATGTTTGTATACATTTTATTGATTCCTCCTGGTGATGGTGTGAGTGCAGAAATGCCTTAAATAAAGGGAGTAAACTGATCAACTGTGTGCGATTCCTTGATTCTTTTCCAGAGCTGTCCTGGCTACAGTGAGCTCATTTTCATTTCTGTCACGTCACTCATCCCATCTGGGAAAAGGAACTGCAACAAGCCTACGTTTATCCAAATACAGGCTTTTAGGTAAACCTAATATGTGATCAGCATCAGTTTTAAGAGAAATTATAAAAAAAAGTAAATAACACACAACATATACAATGTTAACAGTAAATTATCTCATTTCAGATGGTCACAAGTACCTCTCATCAGTGTGATTTCCTGATCAAATAATTCTATAACTGAGCTGTACACCGACATGTCAGTTCATTAGGTACACCAAGATAAAAACTAATGTGTCTAAAAACAACAGGCCTGCAGATAACTCTGAAGGTTGTACTGTTTTAAAGAGGCTACGAGTGAATTGTGCAGCTGAATCACTGACAGATGTTTCTACCATTTTGTCCTCCCAGTGCTCCAGACTAGCTTCTTACTTTGCTTCCACTGGTGCCCTGAATTTGTTTTGCTGTTCAGGTGCGTTAGATCATTATTACGTCCTCCCAAACTGAGCTCTTTTCCGCTCAGCATGTGCCTGGATGACGGATGTGGAGCAGCAGGGACTAGAAGTGGGTTTATTACTGACTGGTCAATAGGGCTCGACAGTGTCATTCTATTTACCACGAGGATAAATTAAAATCCAAATGTGCCACTTCTGTCTGTGATCTTGAACAATATCTCGCCCACAGCACCATCTGATTGGTCACACATCATGAGTAATAACCAATAAAAAAACAGGATAAATGTCGAAAAAACGCATTGAACTGACACCAAGATTTTAAGTTTTATTCCAAATTTAGATTACAAACTACAAAGATGTTTCAAATATGGGTTTCCGACCACTGAATTCAAAAATCAAACAACCTACTGAGCTGTCACCAAACCAAACCTGATGCCACACGTGGTTTTGCTCAGACTTGGCATCAGCATTGTTTGGTGGGATAATAATGTCTGACATGAAGCAGCATTACCAGAAGGTAGCAACCCCAACAAAGCACATTAAAAAAGCAAACACTGTGGCCTACTATTGTCTCTAATCACTGGACTCTCTGACGGTGGTGTCTGAGGGGAGGATGTTGTCCAAAATCAGGACCGTTCTGGACTTTCCTTCTCATCCTCTCCACAACATGCTGACCAGCAGCAGGAGACTGTAGCTGCCTCGCTGCACCACAGAGCCACACAGGAAGTCATTGCTGCCACTTTAAGTATGATACTGGACACTGATTTTGCACAAATCTTCATACAATCTGCACCTTAACTGTGTGTGTGTGTGTGTGTGTGTATGTATATATATATATATATATATATATATATATATATATATATATATATGAGTAAACACGTGGGTTTTTAGAGGTTGATATTTATTGTACTTTGACATTTATTTATCGATTACCTTCTATTTATCTTTTTATTCTTGATTTTACTCTGATTATATTTCTATCTTTATTCTTGGACGGGAAACGTGCGTGTAATGAAAATAATATCTGATTCTGATCAGGCGAAAACAACTCAAATCTGTGTAAATGCCACTGATACATGCAGCTTACGCACAAAATGCAATAAAAGCTAAGATCAAACACCAAACTGCAGCCAGTGACACAATCTTACAGGGTAGCCACAACCTCGCAGGAGCTCACACAGCAGACAAATACACACAAAGCACAAAGCAAAATGGTCTCACTCAGGAGTCACGCCGGCCTCATTTATATCAATGATGAGGCTAAATAAGAGAAACATCATCAACAACAAACTGCAGCCTCCAAAACTACGAACGTTGAATCAACACCTCTCGGAAACAGCTCAACAAATACTCAACAATACAACACTCATGAAGGGAGAGTTTGGACGGCTGTAGTTTTGTCTTTGTGTCCCTGACAAACATCAGGATGTGCAGTTGTGTTCTCACCTTTCTGCCACTTGGACGCCGAGTCGGTTGCAGAGGTTGTGGATGTACTGGGAGTAGTGCTCCACCATTGTCATGTCGTAACCCGACACCGTCACATTCAGAGTCCCGTATGCTCTGTTCGTCGCAGGAATGATCGGTTTCATCTTGTGTCTGTCTTTCTTTTTCTTTGGCTGAAACAAAAAGAGCCAAACATTCAGGTAAACTGTTAAAGCTTTTTGTCCAGATGACACATATGACTCAGAAGTTTCAGCTCCGATCATTTGACATCTTTTTAAAATCAATTTGCCTGAAATCTTTCGAGCACAACTTCTGGTTATTTATGAAGATACTTGTGAATTTTTTGTTTGATATATCAAGTACTTTTCCAGATAAATCCCATTGATCCACTTTCAGCAGGTTTTGAAATGTGAGGCTGTTTAATGGACAATAACTCGGGGACTGTTCAAAATCAAAGTCCGAAATGTTCACTGTTGGGAAATATTTTAACTGTATTACTCAGTGAATATTAAACTAAAGCTTGACTTCAAAAATCAAATCACAATTTGGCCAAAGAAACACAACCACAGTCGCGACCTGCTGCAGACAGAGCGGAGTAATGTCATCCGCTCAAGTTATTTCACTGATGTCGCATCACTACACAGGAAAGTATGACAGTAACAGTAAAAACAATCTCTCAGCAAGGCCGTGTCTGTACAAATGCCTCATGTTTGCACCGCAGCGTTTCAAGGTCGTCAGTTAGAGCGTACTCGTTAAATATTGAACCAATTCCAAACATTTTTGTCCCTGTTAATCATTTACAATCGAAAATACGAGAAAACAGGACACTTGAATTGTATTTTAAGAGACAGGCTTTGCAGCATTTTTGACGTTACGCCCCCCGTTGTGATCTGGTCTCACGAGTCTTACCGCTTGTTTAGGTACAAGATACTTCCACCTTCCAATCCTGTGGGTTGGCATGCTCCTGTACTGTCTTTCATTTGCAGAAGCCGTGCCTGGAGGACAAATAAACATATTGCGTAGCAAGGCGAGACTATCTGGCAGATGTCCAGGACAAGTGATTTATTCATACCAGTCTTTCGATACTTACACCAAACAGGATGCTGGATGGATGGTGTGGCCCTTTAAAGATTAAACAAATAAAACAACAAGTAGTCAGAATCAGTTATTACTTGAGAGAGCGTATTAATCTCAACAGGATCTCTTCAGAGCCATTTTGGAAAAAACATAAAAATTTAGTTTAAATGTTCCTCAACATGCAAAGCTCCATCTCGTAGGGCTGGCGAGAACAGAGGAGGCCTTTCCATCTTTGGTACTGTTAATAATATGACTATCACTGAGCGAACTGCTGAGACCTGGGACTGCAGCGACATTACTGAAGAGAAGCTTGGCAACACAGAGACACGAGTTTTTCTGACAGGTACGTTTATAGCTCAGCCTCGTGTCAGCCAAACATATTCAGAAGACAAAATGAAGATGACTGCCCACACTACTTGTAGATGTGTGTAAAGTGTTCTTGTGTAGCATCATTTTTACATTACATGTGATCTCACTCACAGTCGTAGTTTGGATAATCTGGCTCCTTCACAACCTGTCTGATCATCTGCAAACACTTTGTTCATCCTGTCGCACTTCATTGTCGCCGTTTTCCCAAATCTCAGCAGTTACAAATGATGTCACTGCACACAATGGATATATAAAGTCTTCACACCCAAAACGACAGGGTTTAAATAATAATAATGAAAATCAAAAAATGTGAAACCGATAGACCTTTTCAACCTTTATTGTGAAATTGCAACCTAGAAATTAAAGTGAAAAACGACAAGAATCGAATAATAATATGGTTGCATAAGCGTGCACACCCCTAAACTAACACTAACTTCCTCGTTAGAATCAATCATGATCCGACACTTGATCTGTTTGGTGCATCTCAACTTACCAATATTTTTCTTCCTTGCAAACACATTCTAACTCTTTCAGATTGGCTTTTCACCACAATTTAGACATTGCAATTTCACAATAAAATGTAGAAAAGCAAATGATTTATGTCAGTTTCATTCACTTACAGCTGCCCTTTTAACCGGAGTACGTAAAACTTTTTTTTTCATATCCAGTGTACATTAGAGCCGTCACTGAACCATCCTACCAAACCAGAAATAAATACGACTGCAATGGCTTACCTGCATAACGTAAGTGCTTGATTCAACACCAGCGCCGGCCGTGTGACAGACATCTGCAACTGGACAAGATAGAACGACATGAGCTGTCATATTTATGTACGTTTATCATATATAATATAAGTTTAAACAGCATTGCTTGTTCTGACCGCAGTCCAGCTAACCTGCCTACCATCTGTAATAAAACAATACTGCTACTCATAAACTCAACAAAACCTCTAACAGGCTGTTGTTCCTTCAGCACTGGGTCTTTTTAAATGCCAAAATATGAATATGAATGATGACCTCATGCAACTACTGGATCTTTAGTGGTGAACTCAATCATCCCTCAAACATACACACACTGTTGTGATCTCAGTCAGTAACAAGCATCTGACAGCAATGACGAATGACTGAGAGGATTTCAGCTTATATTCCATTTTGAATCGTAACCTGCTGCTTGAACTCTGCGTTTTCTGTCACATGCTTATTGCAAAAACAAAACGTTTCTGGTTTTCAATGACTAATCTGCACGAGCCGTGTGTCTAATAAAAACATGAATAATTCTGGGTTACATTCTTGTTAAATTTTAAACTGAAGACGAAGAGTTTATTGGCATCCAGGCTCTACATGTGCACAGCAAAATAAGGAAGGAACTTTGCAGAAAAGGAAAATTTAGTTGCATAAAAATCAGCTGTGTGGAAATGTTTCTGCTACAGAGAAGACAATGTTGACCAACTGTACCACTACATGGAACAAGACAACTGATTTGTTTGAGCATGAGCACTACAAAATCAACTAACGGTGACTCGACTTCTGTAAACCGCTGGAAACACGAGCTGGACATGCAGGCTGCACACCTGAGGGGAGGCACCCCACGTGACCTGGCTTAATTAGCTCTTTCAATTAGCTATTGTGAAGCAGGAAACACGTTACACGAGGCACAAAAAGGAGCTACACAGTTTGACAGAGGCTCGTGTTGACTTTAGCTTTGATAAAGCGAACTTAACAACGCTACAACAAGCTCGTAGCAGCGTTAGCATAACCACAGCTGGACGTGGTGACCTCTGTGAAGTTAGCAAACATTTAGCTGACAGAAAGGAGCAAGCTAACAATTAGCAGAGAGAAAACTAAAGCTCCGTTACCTGTCGGAGGAGCGGGTTCATAACTCAGCCCGTGGTCACCGAAAAACACACACCGTGGACTTGGACAGGGCACTCAGTGACTTAACAGCATAACATGGATAAACAGACTCCAAACTCGTGCACCACTGCCGACCCCGGAAGAGCTCTGCGGAAACCGGTCCGTCACCTATTATGTCCGTCGGCTAAACACACAACGACAAGCGTTCCGGGACAGAGCAGTATGAGCCGATTTGTACAAACAAACATAAAACTGGAGAAAAAAAAGAAAGAAAGAAAAAAAAACACGGAATCTTACAGGAAAAGTGAATCTATGTAAAACATTTCTCATAACCAAACAAGCTGCAGTTTATAGAGAAATCAGTCCTGGTGTTTAGAGTTATAATAGGCAATACTATCTAACACCCTGATTTAGACTGTAACTACCATGAAGGGTTTTGCAAATAAAACTAAGATTTTCTCTTTTGCCGTTATCTAAGTAGCTTTAATCTTAGAATTTAGTCCCCATGAATGAGATCAAGTCATCCTGGTGCAGTAATTACATTTCAGTCTCAATGGAAGTGCTGCAGTCACTTTCCGGCAGGTGGAAAACTGCATTCTAAATTCAGCTGTTACCTTAAAGCTGTATCCAGCAGCAAAAGCAACGTGGTTGAAAACAATCTAAGGTATGCCATTCTATTTACCTGTAAATGAACAAATTCATAGATAGATCGATAGATAGATCGATAGATAGATAGATCGATAGATAGATCGATAGATACATAGATAATCCTAGCAAACAAATAAATAGGGCTCAGAAAAAAATCCTTGAATAAAGAAGTTAGGCAATACATTTATATAATACTTAAGTAAACAGATGTTAATCTACAGCTGCTTTCATCAAGATTTATGAACTTTATGTTTGTGGTAACAGCAAAAGTGTGTCTTTGTAAAACTTCAACATTTCTTGCAACCTAATAATTGTGACCAAAACAAATGTTTGCAGTTTAATCCGGCCTGATGTTTACAGATACTATGGTAATACTGTGTTTGACACTCACATATAAATGTTGTGGAAATCAGAGAGGTTGCTGGAGGATAAGGAGGCAGACACACAGAGACACACTGGAGACTCTTATGTCTTATGTTGTATTAATGTTTACCGATAACGGGAGAAGTCACACCAACAGAGCAGCAGTTCATGCAAGCAGCGTCAGCATCAATCCAAAGGATCTTCTCTTACCGTTAGGCTGATATTGTCCTCTAGTTGAGGGAGTCGGATTGAGACTACGGACCAGCATGGAGACAGCTCGTCTGCTCAGTATGTTTAGAAACAGACAAGTCTAACCTTGACTAGAACAGAGAGATCTATCACGTCTTCCTCATACTACGGTAGCTCCTGTCTGTCGGAAAGCAAGGCCAGATAAGGCCTAAACATGGAGACAGGGCTCAGGTGTGTGAAAGTTAAAGGGGAGCAGAGACCAAAGATGGTGAAAGATGCTGCTTTAACCTACAGGATAATCTGGGATGACGTCGGGTAACAGCTGAAAGGAGATACCTTGAAATGGAAAAGGGTGATTTCTCCTCCACAATAAACACACGCTACTGATTCTTTAACACTCTTTTCACGTTGGTCAGAAGCAATCCCACACCTAAACTGGACTCTTAAGTGCCAAACTCAGATGTTTAGAAGACTTATTTGATGCATCTGACATTTATATCGTTGACCCAATTCTAGCAACTCTGAACAGACGGTATATCGTCCCATCTCACTGGAAATTAATTAAAGCAACAGTGAAACCTTTAAACGAAGCGGAGATGGAAAAAGATCGTGGGAGATATCATAAATAACACCTTTGCATCTTGTATCCAATTTAAAGTTACTGGAAAGAGGAAACCAATTCTTTCCTGCTGACATTTAACATATTGCACTTGTTCTGATGAGTTGACTAATTTTTAATGAGCTGACAGATCCCCTCTCAAAATGGCAAAAGTGTAGAAAAGGACTTCCACAGATCAGTCACATCAAAGTAAAACTGTGCAGAAGTGTCATGAAGAACAACGTGATAACTGTGCACATTCAACAGCCTTTATTATTATTATTACGTAGTTATTTCATCAGTTTGGCCCCTCACAATATCACTCGTATCAAAATGAAAATCTACTTTTAACATTCAAATAGTTCAGGCCTAACATAGCATTTTTGTAGTAAAGTGCAAAATTCCACGTCTCCTGAAACCAGTATTTTAAGAATCATGTATGAACTGTGCATAGGAACATTTGACATGTTTTAAACGATGCATTACCTGCTTTTAAAGCATAACTATGAAAAGCGAAGTCATTCTGCAGCCTATGTAAACACTTGTTAACACATTGCATTTCTTTTTCTAACATCATGCCAAGCAGACGAACTTCTGACTGTATCCATGCACACACACTCACACACACCCTTTCTCTTTGGCTTGCAATGTTTAACTCCTGCATGAAACAATCACAACCCCACACACAGGACTTGTTCCAGTGGACTGTTGCTGGCCTGGTGTATTTGCTCGACTTTCTGTCTTCTAGCTGTTTCTCAAAAATGCTCATCAAAAGGCTTTCTGTGGTGATGGAAAACTGGGAAAATCAAACTTTCTCTTATCGATGCTTGTTGAATTGAGGGAACACATATTTTAGAAGCTGTGTCTGTGAACGACTTTTCTCTGCACCAGTTTTTGTATCAAAAATTCAGGAGAAAGCTCTCTAAACAAATTAAATCTCGCAATATTTTGTAGGCAAATTTGTCACACTTTGGTAACAAGGGGTAGAAAATCCAGCATCGCAGACATGCAAAGGTTTGGCCAAATTTAGTTTGATTCCTTCCAGCCACATTCTGTCATTATACATTCACATTCACGTGTGTGCGTACTGTATACAGCAAATGCCTTCGAATAAAAAGCACCTTAATTACGTTTAGTAGTATGCAACACAGGTTTAGCATGAGAGTCACATCGGTACAGTTAGTCTGAAGTCCTGCTGGATCAAAGCTCTTGTCTGTCTCTGAATGTTGTGGGAGGGTTTGAGGCAAAATGTGGCAGCAGCTCGAGTCCTTTTCTGTACATGAGACATTCAAAGAGAAGATGAGTGCAGCGCTAAAACAGACGTCAGAACATCTGTGGCACTCGCTCACGGTTAAGGATCAAATTTATAGTGCTTTACTAGGTGTAAAAATATATGTATATAAATCCCATCCTTGGTTAAACCCCTCTCTCCTCCTCGTCCTCCTCCTCTCCGTCCTCGACCTCGTCATCTTCTTCCTCCTCCTCCTCTTCCTCCTCCTCTCCGGGGCTGTACAGATCATCGGCCAGCTCGCTCTGATCATGCGCGTCCTCGTCTTCCTCCTCTTCGTCCTCCTCCTCCTCCCCCTCACTCCTCATTTCCTCCTCGCTGCTGTCATCCAGGTCGTCATCGTCGTCCTCCTCCTCCTCCTCCGCAGCCTCTTCCTCGTTATCATCCTGCTCCTCCTCTTCCTCGAGGTCTGGAAGGTGACCTGAAGGGTGGACAGATGAAAAAAGAAAAAGAAGTTTGGTGAGCCCTTGAGCTCTGATGTTTTATTATTTTATACATTTGTTATTGGAAAAAGGGTATCTATTGACAAAAACCCCTCTAAAGTCAAACAGCTTTTAGAAACCGACCAGTCCAGACAAGTACATATTAGCATAGTATGTAGAACATTTATCTCTCAGATGCTGTCAAATTAATAAAAGGTGTCCGTGACTAAAGGGGGGTCAGAATTTCATTAAAATGCTGCAGCGGAAGTGAAGAAAACAAAAACCAACTATTCTCTCAGATAGCTTTCAGTGGAAGTCATTTAGCCTTGACTGATCAGTGCTCAGTGTTTCTGACAGAAATGTCTTACAGAGGGAGTTAATGGCAGCAACAATGTGACACGGTAGTTCTTCATCCAGGAATTTTCTCATTTCCTCCTCCATCATCACTCCAAGAACCTCCGTCTCCATGTCGACGTACTCCGGGTAGAACATGGTTTTCCTGAGCTGCCTGCGGCACCTAAAACACACACACACACACACACAACCAGATAAAGGCTTTTATGACTGGATTTAAGACATTTATCAGTTCTTAAAGATAAAAAAAATCACATTACACCGAGAGCTTCAATCATTAGTGCTTAAACAAGCAACAGAGACATAATTGGGAACTATTTTGATAAAAATAAAATAAAATCACTATTGGAATATCATAAAACACAACTTCTTAAATGATATTTGTCATCAATGCCAAATAAAACAAGCTGTCAAAATAGATCCCTTTAGGCTGTGGGACATTTTAATCAGCATTCTAAACTACTTTTAGACATCATATAGACACAATCATGAATTAATCAACTGAGACATGATCATGAAAACAACTGAAGAAATCCAAAAGCAGCACTTACTGTTTTCCTGTCGTCTTGTATGCCTGAAAATGGGACAAAAATCAGAGGCGTAAACACACAAAATACTTGGTTTCACACAAATTTGAAGCCATAAAAATAACTTATCACCACTGTGCACAGGGGGAAGGAATCTAATAAAAGTGTACTTGTGTTACAAACATAAAGCTGCCACAGGTTCTATCAGTTTCTGACATGACAAACTCCGCCGTATGTCTCAAACGGTTCCATGAATCTCTCTTAACTTTGGAAAATCTTGGGAGTTCATCTCAGTCGAGCCACATAAAGCACATGAACGTTTTAGCCTCATAACAACACACCACAAGCCAATTTAATTAAAATGCAAGGCAGCGATGTGTGTGCGGCTGCTGCGTCTCACCTCGATGAAGCGGAAAGGGTCGTTTTCCTGCATGAGGCTCTCGATGCCACAGCGGACCTCCTGGAGACGGGCCTGGTCCTGGCAGATCCTGGAGATGTTCTTCTGAATCGCCGGCCCGTTGGTGTCGCAGTGGGTGCGCGTGCATTCTCGCAATCTGGTGATGAAGCGGAGGACTTTGGCCTTCATCTCCTCACCAAGTCTGGTCAAGCACTGCTCAGAGTCGTCCATGAACTTCTACACGAGCAGAGGAGACGTGGAGGAAGGAGGACACAGTGCAGTAAAATATCAGCTGAAGTTCACCAACACTGTTCAATACCTTGTGTGTGAATATGATCTATCAGATTCATGTTAATTAGCGTTTTTTGACTTTCTGAATAAAGGTATTGCTTAACGAACACAACAGGATTGAAATATCACAGCAGAAGCATTTAATGAATGAAAACATGTGCAGGATGTGCAATCGTGAAATCTCCAGAAGCTATTTTATAGAATATAGTCCTACTAGTTGACATTTTACCATATCGAAGAACATGTGTACTTTAATTTGTCTTTTTTGTTTCCTGACAGAGACAAACACAAGTCAGTCGTAGATGGAGCAGTGAGCAGCGCCCACATTTGAGCTGCAACGAATAATCGACTGACAGAACATTAATCAGCAACTATTTTGACAATCCATAACCTTCTATGTAATTTGTAAAGCAAAAATGTAATTATTCACAGTTTTTGTTGGTGTTCTACAAACACAATGACCTCTGAAGCAGCACATTTAGTGAGAATTCTAATCCTCAGCTGCAGCACTAATTCACAATCGGAGCACGACTTCCATCTGGAACTGGAAACACCAAAATAACAAAATAACTACATATGGGGGAAAACAATGTTTATCATAGGACGATACGGAGAGTGTAAAACGTGAAGTTACACAAGACGCGATGCTGAATAACATATCATCATTTTGTCGATGCAAAGTATTGTTTGCTGCTGTAATGCTGAAAATTTCCCCAAAAGGCTTCTCTTGTCTTCAGTATGCTGTCTGACAGTGTTCTTCAAAAAGCTCAGGATGTACCAGGATTATGATAAAAAATAAAACAAGTGAAATTCCTCCATCCGTCATCTATACACTGTTTAATCCTCACTAGGATCAGGGGGGCTGGAGTCTATCCCAGCTGACTCAGGGTGAAGGCAGGTTCACCTGGACAGGTAACCAGTCTATCACAGGGCTACACTTAGAGACAGACAACCAAGCACACTCACATTCACACCCACGGACAATTTAGAATCACCAATTAACCTCAACATGTTTCTGGACTGTGGGAGGAAGTCGGAGAACCCGGAGAGAACCCACATCTCACATGGAGACTACACGTAGAAAGATCCCGGGTGTCCTCACCGGGACGCGAATCAGCGACCTTCTGGCTGCGAGGCAACGATGCTAACCACCGACCCACCATGCAGCCCACCAGTGAAATTAAAAGTGTTAAAAAATTGTGCAGTTTTTACCTTATTCTGTCTCTCCTTCTCCTTCTGCTCCTGGAGTTTCTTCTCTGCCAAGCTGTACTTCCTTTCCACCCTGTACAGCTGCTTGTCCAGCGTTCCCTGGTAACAACAGGAGGCACGTGTTTAATGGAAATGATGCCACAACAGAGTTTTACATTTTAAATGTTGGGATTTAAGGGGAGACTGATTAGCACTGTGCACATGACAAACACTCATTAAGAGCTGTAGCTTTTTAGCCTGCTCCTGGCTTAAAAAATAGACTTTTTATAGAAAAAAAACCCAAATCTGTTAACCCAGAAAAGATTCAGCAATTAATTGATAATCATCTTTCCTCATCTTTCATTACTGCATACAGTCCATCTGACTGCAAACAACAGAAAACATTGCTGGAGAGTTTTGATAATCTCCTGCCTTGTTGGCAACATGATATATTTTCCACTTGGTTGGGGACTGAACATCCAGAGTAATGAACTGGAAGCATCTCATTGTCATTCTGTTCAGAAGAATGAAAGAAGAGGAAGTGAGCTGAACTCCCCTATAGAAAGTGCACAAAGTCACGTGAGTCCCTTCATTCACCCTCACAGAGCCTAACAACTGACAGTATTCATTCGTCGGGATTCCAGATCCATCACTGGGCTGCGTCTAAGGCAATGCATGAAAAGGTGGTTCAACTGAACGGAACAGGACACAAAACTCAGCTCCAGCACACGGACTTCAGAATGCCATCATCTTAAATTAGGAAGCGGTTGTTTCATCACACTAACATCTACGTACCACACAGCTATTCTCACCACAGATATGACTGTGTGGCACGCAGGTGGAATCTCATTTGCAGAACTTTGTTCCAATCGTAATACACACTGTGGAGAAACCCCTATGGTCACGAAGAGCGTACCTTGAGATCCTTCATTGTGTTTTTCAGGGTCTTGATTGTGTGTCCCGAGTGTAATCCCTCTATGGTGCAAGCGTTGCACACACACATCTTGTCATCCATGCAGTAGTACCTGGAATTAGAATAGAATAGAAACACTTTATTTATCCCAGACCTGGGAAATTATTTTGATACAGCAGCAAAAAAGAAAAACACCAAATCACAACAGGTAGAAAATATAGTAAATTAGGTCTATAAAAATAAAATAATAGAAGAAAGGGCTGAAGTTACATTCATGACTCGATAATCCGACCTTTAACAATCCTGAACCTTGCTATCCGGCAGGTTTTTAGGAAAAACAAACGGAACAGCCTCAACATACTGACAGCCTTGGATTCTGACTCCGACATGACATTTAATGTCACCAATCAGGATAATGACGTATTATCTGACTGAACAATCCCACAGATTGGCTACGTTCACACTGCAGGACTTGATGCTCAATTCAGGTTTTGTTGTGAAATCTGATTTTTTTGTGAGTTCGTTCACATTTCCAAATAAATACGACTTGTATGTGATCTGCTGTGTGAACTTCATACGACCCAAAAGTGTCCCGCATGCGCAGAAGAGGACACGACGACGTCACACACAGTGAGCGTGCTCAGTGTTTACTGAAGTAAACATGGATGGTAACGGTGGAGCGTATCTGCCACTCCCTCGCCACCGGCACCGATGGTGGAAACAGAACCATGACTGCTACTAAAGTACTACCTGTGTGTTCCGGACACTTCCACCCCGTTGGAGCGCTCCCCCGGGGTGGAAGTGGCCGGCACAAGCGCACCGGTCAATGCGGTGTGAAATCCAGCGATGCGTAGTGTTCTAACAATACACTAGTTATTATAACAACTATGAACAATGAATATTAACAACAAGTGACCCTTCCAGCATCAAGCCCTCCTCGTATCTCGACCTCCGTCTTGACAATTCAACATAAAAGCAGGTTATACATTTAGAGTCGGATTATCTATTTATTAATTTTTATTAAGTCACGACTGTACTGTTTAAAAATAAACTAACTGGTCAAAATGTGCAAATTCAAAAACAGCGCACTGCAAACCAAGTGAAAAGAGGGTTCAGATAAATTCTACAAATTACAAATTTTCTTGAAACCATGTATGTAAACGATGGATGTAGCCACTGCGGCACCACCCGTTGGTTTGTGGACCACCGTTTGAAGCCTTGAATTTGGATTTTGGACGTCACCATCTGGGTCTTTTGAAAGGGACTGCTTTATCGTCTATTTCACCCCAAATGGGACCATAATTTACAAAAGGAACCTTGTGCTGTATTAAAGGAGACTCGAAACTAGCCATCGAGTCTAGAGATGTCTTAATCAAGTTTTTAAGATTTATTATTTGCTCCTAATTGACTCTATGAACTCATTAAAAGAAGGTAAGACCTCAAGTGAGAAGCAGGCTCACTGTCTCATAGACGACCAGAAACTAATGCATGAATGTTAGAAATAATGCAGGTTTAAGCTTCACTTTTCAGACCCAGAGGCTACACCCATCGTTTATATAATTATATGCTAATAAAACAGAACTGCACTGACTAATGAAGCAGTGCTCCAATGCAGCACAAAATATGACCACTTGCAGAAAAAAAAGGAGTGGACAAAAAGTAGGTTATTGTGTGAAAATGTTCCAATGAGATATGAAAAGAATAAAAGTATGCAAATAACAGAGTATGTTCGATGTACTACAATCATCTTACACCGTCGTACACATTCAGTTCAAACAAGACTATAAACAACATGCAGCTGCTACGAGCGCATTTCAGTTTTAATCCTATATTCCTTTTTTTTTTTTGTATTTGGGCACACCGGTGTGAACAGCTGGATCAGTAATGAGCCAGTACTGATGTTATGAGAAAGACTGGATTCAGCGAGATGTTACTGATTAGAAAACTGATTAGAAAACTGATTAGAAAACTGATTAGAAAACTTTCTCATCGTCAGTTGTAATTATTAAGCAAGATGCTGACCACATGTTTTAGTGCCACAGGAACCACTGGCCTCATGTTGGTGATTAACTGATTAGATGAGCAGCATAAAATTAACTGCAAGTATTTTGATAATCATTTGAGTCTTTTTTTTTTTTTTTTTGTGGTTCCAGCTGCTCGGATGTGAAGATGAGCTGCTTAGAGGGTTGCAAGATGATTTCTAAAGCGCAAAGAAAATGTATAAATAATTAGAAAAAGCCATATTTGCTCCAAAAGATAAAAATAGCAGTTAAATGCTGCTTTTTCTATGAACACAGAGACATCACCTGGGAGTCTGCTGCTCCTACGTACTGCATGTTTACTGAGTACAGTTTACACACAGACATCACTCTGACTCAAGTATTCTGCTTCTAGCTGATATTAAATTACTACAAAATAATGATGTGGTTGTTAGGCCGTTGTGTTCTTTTGTGTTGACGATTGTGCCGGTGTTTAGATAGGCCTAATAGAGTGTGTGTGTGTGTGTGTGTGTGTGTGTGTGTGTGTGTGTGTGCTCATTCACACGCAATGCTTGTATCCTCCAACCATCGCTAGGGATAGAAGGGGTCGCGGGTTATGTTGGGGGATGAAAATTTCAGGAAAGTCTGCAATTATTGATGAGGAAAATAATATTTAGTTGCAACCCTTGAACACAAACATGATATCTGCAGTGCGGTGTACGGAGTTTAAATCTGGGTTAAAGGGAGCACCGGTTTCAGACTGGAAACAGCATCAGCAGGCACCATGAGGTTCACAGGAATCTATTGTGCATCTGTAGCTTACAGCACACACTTGTTCAAAGACATCAGAACAGTGTTTTATCTAGAGAGTGATTTGTGGCCAATCGAGTGGATGTTTGATCACAGTATTCGTGCTTCAGAACCTGAGACAAACATTCCAAGGTGACAGTCATCCTTTCAAAGTATCAGCATTGCAAATAGGCGTCCTACCTAAATATCTCATCATGATCCGGGCACTTCCTCTTCCAGAAGTCATTCATGGGCTCGGTGAGAGGATGCTCGCGGAACGCTGGCAGCTCCAGATGTGGCTTTACGTGCTCCTGGCACATCGACACCTCGCACTTCAAGCACGTCTTCACAGCAAACATCGAAGCAACGGCAGCTTCCGGCTTGTCACTTCCTTCCTGAGAAACAGAAGCAGCAGAGGATCCGTCCACAGCACTGCTGATGCCTGAGGCCTCGGCGGAGACTGAAGGGCAGTAGTCACATGGAACAGCAAACACACTCCTGGCTGACGGCGCTGCTACAGAAGCCGACAGCAGTTCCCTGGATTTTAAAGCTGTAGCAGCTGCAGTGGTCGCTCTGCGCCTGTGGCGGTAGTCGTCAGCAATATTGGCTAGTTTGAAGTTTTTCTGAAAGTTGGTGCTACACCGGTGGCTGTCGCGGCACTCTGGACAGCGGAAGCGACCTCGCTCTGCTTGTCGCTTTAGGCGATCGAGGCAGGTCTTACAGAAGTTGTGTCCGCAAGGAAGTAAGTGGGGGTCACGGTACAAGTCCAAGCACACCGGGCAGGTGAGCTCCTCTTGCAGGACGCTGGACTGCTCTGACTGGGCCGAGGCCATGTCAATAATCAGTCTGTGAGGCCACAGAAATGAGGTGAAGATGTGGTGAGAGATGAAAAAGTGACAGGAAAGACGAGGGTGGACAGATGTGGATGAAGGGGATCAGCTGGTGGGGATAGGAGAGGAAACGATGAAGAAAGTCTGCTGGTTTCTCTGTGTAGAACTTGGCCTTTTGTAGACGTCAGGCAGCTGAAACAAACAAGAGTCACATTATTAAAAGTCAGTAGACAACAATTCTGCTCACTGATTTATTGTAGAAGTCATTTATTTATTGGTGTAGACATGTCAGATGTGGGGATTACGGTATGTTTCTGCTGCTTTATTTCACTGCGAATCGTCCAACAAAACAAGAACGTAGCACTTCACAATGAGAATAATTTAAAAGGGAATTTCACCATTTACTTTAAATTCATTAGTTGTTTTGACAGTTTACTGATGAATTATTTAGTCGATAAAATCTGTTTTTAAAAAAATGTAATAAAATTATGTCCACAAACTGCATTTTTTGCCCCAAACGCAGAGATCTCATTGTGAAAACCCTCACATTAGAAAAACAGCAAATGTTTGGCATTTGTGCTGTGTGACCAGCTGGAATGCTTAATTATGAAAATAGTTATGGACTAATGGGTCAGTGTCAGCCCTAAACAGGAAGTCACTGTTAGTTGCAGCCCTTTTCATTTGCATGATTAAAACTACAACCTGAGAGGATTCATCGATCACATGTGTGACAGAAGATTTCCTTTTAACTTTCAACTGACATTTTTCAAACAAAAATGCCCAAAAAGCCCCAGTGTCTCAAATGTGACATGTGATAGTAAACTGATCATATTTGGCTTTAAGGACTGATAATTGGCTAACTATTTGAGTACATCCTCTTTTAGTGTTTTTCATGTATTGATAGACAAACGGCTGACTACTTGAGGAAATCCTGGAAAGAAACACCCCATGTAACTGAGTAAAACTGGACTTATTTCAAGTATTTTATGAAAACAGGACACACTGTGTGAGCTCACAGTCTAACTTCCTTCCTCCTACATGTGCGTCAATGGAGGATGGAAATGAAAGTAAAACACACTGTGGCCTGCTGACAAACTTCCACACAAAGCAGCCTCCTTGGGTCGAAAGTGTTGGAGATAAGACAACCTGCCGTGTGTTGTTTACATGCAGTGGTTCCCAGTCCTCCACCTGTCACAGAGGCCTGTACAGCTGCTCTGAACGCGGAGGTGTAGCAGCTAGCTGGCGGCTGCACCAGCTGTCTGTTAAGGGGTCAACCGACAATTAGCTAACTTGCCCGCACTTGCTACACTAATCTCTCCCCCCTCCTGGCTGAGTTCGCTGGGGGCAGTGATAAGCTAAACACGACGAAAACAGGCGTCCTACCTTGATGGTGCTAGCGGCATATATAGGCTGGGATTGTGTGAAGCCGAAACACTGATTTCCAGAGCTGCGGAGGCGGTCTGTATCTCACGGGATGCGGCTAACGTCTCAAATCTCGAAGCCGCGGTGCACCTGTCGTGCTCCGGCTAACATGGTGACGATAGGACCCGTTAGCGCTGCCTTTTTCTTCTTCTTTTTGTTCCACGGTGTCCGCAAACAGTCCAGCCCTGTCCGGGGAAATATTCCAGTCATTGGGCTTTTAGTTGGTCATCTGGAGACTTCGGTGCTTGACACAAAAGGACGAGGGAACACAAACACACCTGTGCGGCGGACAAACGAGCAGCTAGTGGACTGGAGCTGAGCAGGTTGATGCGGGGAAAATGCTGCATTCACGGTGCCTCGGACATCTCCACAGTACACAATATTCTTTAATCGCTTCGGCGTCTAAACGAAGGGGGGCGCTGTTATAAATAGCTGCATATTCATATTGGACGTTGCAGTTATTGATGCCATTCATTAGTTAATACAACTGGAAAAAGCAAATGACATCTCTGACACGTTGCTCTCTGTTTTTCGAATGCTGAGATTTACGTGTTGTTGTTGTGTTCCCTGAATGTGTGTTGTGATCTAAAATCATGTCTGTTGTTTTTCTGTTTTATTTTTGCTGTTGTGCACAACAATTCTTTATTTTTTTCAAAACTGCTTTTAATTTCAACTATTTGAAATTTACAAAATTCTTCCTTCTCCACAAAACCTCTTTTATTAGGAGTTAGACGCAATTAAAAAAAAACAAAACACTACATTTATAGTATTAAATAAAATGTAGTCAACCTCAGTCCAGTCCAGTAGAGAAATAAATGCACATGTACAATTTTACCTGACTGATCTAAATATTTACTTAAGACCCTACAATATTATATATTATACAAATAAACCTGCAATATCTATAGTATACACACTTATCTGAGTTAAATATTAAGGTTAAGACTATGTGTGTGTGTGTGTGCGTATAACGTGATATGTTGTATGAGATACAAATGTACCTGATTAATTTCAGTGTTATGTTTAAGATCCTACAATATGACATATTCACCACATTCAGAAAGTCTAATAAAAATGTGATGTCCTAATCATACTTCATACAATTTTAACAGTAACTCACCACTCTTCCTGCTTTAATAGCATAATACCTGACTGATAAGAACATGCATGTGCATTTTTCATGTATCACGGCTTATGACTTTATTGGAGTACAATTTCCAGGTACCTGTGTTTCCATCTTACGCGACCTTAAATTTGTCATTTACTGCATTTCAGACAAAAATGTTGTGCTTTTTTTACTCCACTATATTTAGCAACTGTTCAAAGTAACTAATGTGCAACTAAACAAAGATTAGATGGCAGCTTTTTGGTTTGTTCTTTTAATCCTCTTCCATTATTCAAGATCTACTTTGTGACCTTTTTGGAGGCGCTGCCTCTCGGTTGGGAAGCACTTTTCTGAACTCTGTAACTGAATACAGTTGGTAAAACTAACCCCATCTCCACCACCTACAACAATAAACAAAATAAAACAAAATAAAACAAATACTATGTGTAATAGAGCATTTTTACACTTTTGCATCGATACTATTACTTTGATTAAGGCAAATAATCCCATTGAAAGTTGAATTTTATTGCCCAAACAACAGCATCCACTCAAGATTACAATTTCACAAAACATTCTTATTTCTTACTGATGCATGTAACAACACATATACATAATCCATTTAAATACCAAGAACACAATCACCAAAAATACGTAGAAACTGTGCAAACTATCCCAATAACTTGAATTATTTGAATATTCATATCAAAGGAAATACATGAAAAGCACACACTAGGAAAAAATAATGTCTTTCTATATTCTTCGTCACGTCAGATTCAGATTTAATCGTTAATAACACGTTAATTAACTACACGCCATTTTCAATATCTACACATTGCTACCAAGACAGAATCATCATCGTAGTCTTTGTCATGAGTAAGTAAAAATATCAAAAGATCCAAAGTTGAATTTGTACGAACGTGTTAAAAACCCATCCATCAATAATGCAGCAAAAGTAAGGAAACATAGTTCTGATGAAACATAATGTCTTTCTGGATAACTTAGTCTTAAAAACAACACCTTCAGAGTTTGGGGTACAATTTCACGTCACTTTCTGCCCCTAAATCAATCATTTTTAATGTCACTAGAAGCACAGTGTCGCTGTTTTTTTGTTTGTTTTTTACTGTAAACCTTAAACTTGACTGTGTTAAGTTGATCATGTTGTCAAGCTACGGTTTGCTGTGTCTTCATTACAGTCCCAAAGCGTTCACTGGCAATCACTGTCTTCTACTTCAAAGACGACGGGACCCTGGATGGTGAAGCCGAGATAGTACCGAGTCTGTCCTGAGGCGTCTGCTTTAGCTTCTATTCTCGCTTTTATTTTCTTCCCCCCTGCACAGACAAACACTTCCTGTTCTCTGTGCTCCTGTGGCCCCATTGAACGTTGGCGTGGCTCTACGTGGACTGGGAGAAGGATATCTTTGATTTGTGGGATGTGCCACACTTCGCCACTGAGCCAGAGTGCATTGATCCGCCTCATTTTCTCCTTATCGATTTCATGTTGTTCATCAGCTAACTCCGTGTCCACCTTTGCTTCCACAATTGCATCCAACCTTGATTTGTGAATCCATCTGCTCAGTCCAGAGCCCTTTCCCAGAAAAAACAGTGGCAGCAGGTACCGGCCTCGGAGGTACTTGGCATAATTTTCTCTCTTAAATGCTTCCTCCATGAATGTGACGCACCGTTCCAGGTCTGGGTCAAGCATGATTTCGAGAGCTTGTTGTGCAGGTTCTCCTTCTCTGGCGTTTTCCTCATCAGTGTCCTCATCCTGTGAGATTTCTGGCCGATCTTCCGCTGTGACGACTGGATTCACTTCATCATCCTCCTCTTGTGTCACCTGAAGCTGCTCCTCGGGCCAAAACAACAGCAGAACCAAAAGGTAAAACTCGGGTCTTTGAAACCCAGCTTGTGCACCCAGGAACCTGTGAAGTATCTCTTGGAGTTCTGTCACCGGGGTCAGCTGAGGAGAATCAGGCCTCTTGTTGCTCAGGAGGATGTTGGAGAGAATGTACCTCTCAGCTACTTTGACATCGTCAGCATTTTCCTCAAATTCAGTTCTCAAGCCGTCTCGGATCGTCTCAAAGGCAGACACTGATTTCTCAGCCTCGAAAAATCGAGCATGTCTTCCCTTTGCTGTGAAAAGGCCGTGATTGAGAAGATCAAGAAGGCCTGGAAAGCTGGTGGATTCAGCTGCTATTTCTCCAGTGTAGTATTTGTAACAAAGTGCAACATCCTTCCAGAAGAACTGTGGCTCTGAGAGAGTCATTTTAATCTTAGAGTAGGTTAGATACCATTCAAAAAAATCAAACTTGGCTTTAACTTCCATTTCTAAGTTTGGATGAATATCTGCAGGGACGTTCCCACGGAGTTTCTCATGGGCTATCCTTGCAACCTGAATGAAACCAAAAAGGCCTCTGTTGTTGAAGGAATCTGAAACTCTTGCAGTGCTTTCCGGGTCCTCCATCTGTGGACTCTCTTCTTTGTCAGCCTTCTCCTCCACATGTTCAAATGCTTGGAGGGCCGTTCTTGCCATTTTTATAACATCCTCCCGTTGCTTAACTTTCCTCATCAAACGGTTCTTGTAAATTTGTCCAAGAGTGTCAGCCACATAACAGTTGTCTGGATCTCTTGTAATGGCTTCCTTCGCCCATTCTTCAGCTCTGTCATAGACACCTCCTACTATGTAACAGAGACGAGAAGCAGTTTGGGGGAAAAAGGGGTTCCGTCTGAATCTATCTGATGCTGTTTTCAAGACAGAGACCGCATTGTCAAAGTTCTCTTCCTTCAGTATATCTTCAATCAATGCTGAGAACTTGTCTTTTCCTTTCTTTCCAATTTCTCGCTTCATTAGCAAATCTTTGATGAACTGGACTATATATGATTCAGGTGGATTTTCACAAAGTAAAGACATGAATTTCTTCACTGTAGTACTTCTGGTAATCTTCAAGGTTGCCAGTTCATCGACAATCTTCTGTGCAATCTCTGGGTTGATGATGCGTATTTCATCAGGACTGGATGTGTTGATGAAGACAGCAAAAGGCCTCATTCTTTCTTCAAAAGGAGGGCCTCCGTGGATGGGATCAGGTGGTCCAAGGACCCGCTGACACTCACGCATCCGGAGGTAGGACTCAGGAACATAAGCGTTCAGTAGAGCCAGGAAAGAGAATAGTTGAGCATTGGTGGAATGTGGGTGTTGTTGCACGTACATGATAGAGTTCATCACATCATCACGTCTAATCTCTACTGGTAACGCTTCACCATCGGCTCCATCACTGGTATCAGTGGTGCCACTAGTGTCAGTTTCTGCTGTGTTATGTTCCATGGCAGTGAGCTTAGATTAGAAAGTGAAGAAAGTTTTTTTCTTCCACTTTGTTTCTGCTTCCAAAAGAAAGTCCAGCAGTGTTCAAATACCTGAATAAGAGATGATGAGAGACTAATGTTAATCACTTCTAATTGACATATGCAATCATTTACCTATCCTGTTGTGATTGGTTGTCATCTCCTTTTTTTAAAAAAAAAAACAAAAAAACTTATTTATCTTTATCAGATGTAGAAGCACACAAAACAAGTGTCAAAAACTCCCACCAACTCAAAAACACTCTTATTTACCTGAGGAACATTTTCAGTTCGTTCTGCTACAACACATGCTCTCCAGTTGTATAAAAGAGATGATTTCATGTCTTGCAACATTAAAACTAGAAGGTCTGGGGCCTGTACTATGAAGCAAGTTCACACATCAGGATATGTTTTTGTTATCTGGCTTCACTCAGCCTAACTAACACAATCACATGAAGCAGGTTTTTAGAATGCAGCTGCAAGTGTGTTCACATAAAAAAGGCCCCAGATGACTAATCATTAGCGTGGACAGGTGTAGAGCTGCATATTACTCACAACAACAACAAACTATAATCCTGAACTAATATGAGGAGTTTTAAAATATAATAGCTATGTATCCTGGCAAGAAGTAGCACTGAAAATCCAGAGTTAAACATGAAGTTACTTTGCTAAACCCAAATCCTGCTTTGTATAGCACAGACCACTGTAGCTGTAGCAGACTGCTGAAGCTTATAGGGAATCCAAATGTTTTGGATTGTTGGGTGTTTCTGTCTCTGCCTTTGTTAAGCGCTATGAGATGACTTGTTGTTGTAAATATGCGCTATACAAATAAAATTGAATTGAACTGAATTGAAATTAATTGAATTAAAAAGCACAAGATCTTCATCAACAGAAGGAAACCAGTGGTGCATCGTATGGGCTTTAGGGATCTGAATGACATTTCGTGTACGGAATCAGAACAAATTAAACATTTTTGTAATACTTCCCAAAGGTATGTAATCAAAAATGTGAATGCTCACAATGTCAACCTCAGCTGTGCTTTTTGTTAGTGCTAATTGGAGCGTAACGCTAAGACGATGAGCAATGATTAACTTTAAAGCCCCTAAACATTTGCTCTTGTTAGTTTTGTGACCATTTTAGAACTCAGCTTGTTTTAAGTTGCATTTAGTGGCTTTATCGGTAGTTGGATGATTTAGAAATACTTCATAGATCATATCATCTTGTGATTGTGAGGCTGTTGAGTTCATTTGTGTTGTTGTTACACCTGTTTGACAAAAATGAGGAATGCCTGACTTTTGCTACCCTTTATTATTTTGTGTTTTTAATAATATAATATAAACATATACTTTTTAAAATTAATATTATCCTAATTCTGGATATAATACTTTTAATTACAGAAAAATACTGAGAAATGAGCATTCATTAAAGACTTAAGAATTTTCACAACCTAAAAACTCAAAGGCTTTCTCACAATTCACTTTCTGATCTTTGAACTAACACTATATTCATTAATAAACAGTAGCAACTAAAGCGAGCTGCAACTTATGAGCCCTTTACTATGGCCGACTTATCAGAGAATGATTCCCTTTATAGTCTCCTAAAATATCGAGTGGAATATAATCACTGACCTGCAGAGGCACTAATGATGAAGCCTGTTTTCTGGTTCAGTCCGTTTGGTTCAAGGCAGATTCTGGATGACAAAACACATAAAATTCATTAGTCACAACAAAGCATTCATAAATACAGTGCTAACGTAAGACAACTAATCAAAACACTGCATCAATAAGCTGAAACATTTCCAGCAATAATTCTTTGTTTTGATATGATGTAGATATTTTCAGAATGTTAACAGTCAAACCAATAAAAACAGGAAAATCTTGAAAACAGGTTCAGATAATGTAAGTAAGCTCGGGTAAACTTCAGTAAGCTAGCTCATTTCATTGATGGATGACAGCAAAAACTTACTGAAACCAACATTTAATCAAAGAAAAACACAGAAAACTAAGCGATAAATGTTTCTGCAAATCTTGTTACCTGTTTGAGTTCCAGCAGGTGAGGATGACGAAGGAGCCTGAGGATGCTGTTAATAAACAGTTCCAGCCACGCCTTCTACATATTCTACATTCTTGTAGTTTACGTACGTAACAGTTTGTCGATCCCATACCAGATGAACCAGGACATAGACAGCAAATCTACTTGTTTATGTGGGTAAAAATAACTTCCGCAAGCTCATGCTTGAAAGACGAGATTCCATTTAATCTACAAGTTTCGTTTCTGCAGAAACCACAAGTCCTGTGTTCCTGTAAATGTCTATTTTACAAGCCTGTCACATTCTGAATTCATTTATATGCAAAATGCAACGGTTCTTATAATGAACATATAAACTCGCACAACATAGCAAACAATGAAAGTTATAATAATAGCAATAACTTTATTAATATCGCACTCTTTAAAAAAAAAAAAAAAAAAGGTTTACAAAGTGCTTTGAATGACAACGAAAAGCAGGATCGTCAGAAGGCAACATGACAAGAAGTTTGAAAAAAAATAAATAACAGAGACAAAGTGCTCTCCAGCGGACTAAGACTGGCATTACAAATGAACCTGACAAGTGTAAGGGTTAAGTTAAGACAATAACATATAAAATACTCATTTATCTGACTAAATGAAATATTAAGGTTAAGAAATAACAGTATTTTTGAAGTAGCAAATGTACCTGGCTAATTTAAATATCAAGGTTAAAACCCTACGTTATATGAAACACAAATTAATTGGACTGAATTAAATATTTCAGTTTTGCAAAATTACACATTGAAAACTCAACGAATTCAAAGGTTCCCTATGAGCAAGCATGCTGAGCCTCCGGCAGAGCCAGGCGTGGCTTTTCTCAGCCCAAGTGACAAAAAGTTAGTAAATGTAGGCGTTTATTCAATCACAGATTCACAACTGACAGTGTCTGAATTAGTTGTTAAAAACAGAGCCGACAGACAACAGCAGCAGACCTGGGTCATGTGAAAACAGGTCACAGATAAAGTTTTCTAACTGAACTATTGCCTCAACAGATAAGCAGCTTCCATCCACTGAGTATATACGCCGTCACAGGAGCGCGTCGTACCAGCTCAGGCTGCTCAAGCCCTTCTTGACGCAGGAAGGGTTTGAGCTGAGCAAAATATAATACCAACCAAAATCCAGTATTAACAAGACACTGTTGTACTTGTCTTCAGTCAACAGCCACTCGTCCACAGCCTCGCCAAGCAGGAGTCTGTAACTTGCTTTTTTATTCATCAATCTGTATTCAGAAGTAAAGAATGTTAAGTTCAGTTTTGAACTTACGAGTTTCCTTTACAGTAAAACGAAAGTGCCACAAGGAGTGACAGGTAGGGCTGGTCCACCGCACCAGGGCACATAAGGTGAACCTTACACACCTTTATTGTAGCCATTGTCTGTGTCTTGTTCACGATGAAAGATGGGTTTGTTTTTGTCAGCTCGCCAGCTTACTGTGAAATTAGACACACCCATCTTTTCCAGGCGTAACCGCAACTGAAAGCAGAAATTAAGATGCAAATGTTAATTTCACTTCGTCTCTGTGTTTGTCTTTGTGTCCTTTGTCTCTTACCTGCTTCAGGAGCGAGTCACTTAGGGCAGGAAGACTCAGATCTACCTCGGAGCTTATTTTCACTCTCATCACATGTCTCTTGTTCAGTTCTACAACAAAAATAAATAAATAAAAAAATTAAAACTCACTAAAAACAGAATAATTTCACTTTTACAATCAGGTTTTTGTACAAACTTAAACAACATAAAACACATTTATTTGTCAGTTTCACATGTGTTGGTCATCAGATCACAGCTAATAAATTATTTTCTTTAAATCTAACACCCCATCACAATCCCTCATAAAAGGTACGCATTCATGTGGTCGTCAAATAATCAGAAATATGAGCTCCAACTGGAAAAAAATTCTAACTATTGCCCCCACAAGCAAATGTGTGTACATGATTTGCCCAGAACTTGACGTCATATCTGCAGAAACAGCAAAAATAAATGTTTGGCTGATTTGACTTTTGATTAATGCTGCAGATGTACAGACTGTATATCAGTTGTTTTGCTAAAATGAACTTGCAGTATGGCTGTACCTGTTAGTCACTGTCCACATACACTGACCCGGACTTATTGCTAAAGTTGTTTAATAGCAGTGTTGTAACGTTTTAGGACTATCAGCTGTATTGTTTAAATGCTCTGAGCAGAAAAACACAACACATCCTCTATATGGTATCTATATAAAGTATGTTGTTTCCACATTGTGACTGAAAAGCACACAAACACATCAAGTTCACAAGAACAACTTATCTGACAGTAATGCACAAAAACAGACAACAAAATAAATCCAGAGCTGCATAATTCATTAAAATCTTCTTCAACAGACGGATGACAGATTAAAGGAACCCTTGAGGCCTTGCAGTGAGGGCGGCTCTGTGGGACATTTTAACCGGCACAGTTTAGGTCCACTCATTTATGTAGAGGGAAGAGTCCCTGCAGGTCCCTCCACATTTGTTCTGGCCGATCATCTTTTTACTGTGATGAAACATCTCCATCCTGATGGGAGTGCCCTCTTCAAGGATGAAAATACACCCATTGATCGGAGACGAGGGGTCACTGAATGGTCTGATGAAAGCGATGTTTATCAGGTTATAGCCATTGCTGACACAGGGAGGCACAGACAGAGCGAACACAGAGCAGAGGGAATAATGATGTGAGAACATGGGATTCAATACAACAAGAGCGACTACAGGATAACTGGGGAATTGAAAACAAAAGGGACAATAAACTTGACACACTAAACTATGGAAAGTAGCAGAGAGACTTAATCTGATGAATTAATATCAAACCAGGAACAGGAAACCGATCAGGTCCCAGTATAACAAGGCTATGAAGGTTTTAAAGGTCGAAGGGGACTTACTGGAGCTAGACAGATGTGCACATGATGCACAACACAGAAAACCAGGCTACAGAACAGAATGAACACGTACGGCACAACAAAAAGCAGATCGACTACACAGGCTGCGTGGAAACTGCACGGTGCTACTCAGGAAGGCATGAACACAAACAAACTGTAAGCACTGAAGCCCAACTGGAGACCAGGAAATACACAACTAAGCAAACTATCCAACGAGAGCAAACAATAACAATAAAACTTGCCCGCTACAGGGGTATCTACTCAGCCACCAGTCGTAATGGAAGGAGCGCAGAGGGGAATGCAAGCTGAGAAAGCGTGCGGCGTGGCCTGAGGGATTCTTGAGTGAGGGTTTTCAGGTTGTAGATCCTCGAAGACTGAATGGAGACAGAGATTAAGCAGACCCGAGCTGACCAACTGTATCCTGTATGATGGTCCAGCGTTGAGTGGTGAACCAAGCTCTTCCGTCATGGCAGGTGGAAACGAATGAGCCGTTTCCCGCCGCAGGTGTCCTCATTCAGCTGAATATCTAATAGACAGATGTCCAGCAAACACAGACACACCTCACAAAAGCCTGCATGAAGGTAAAGGGAAAAAGGAGGGAGAGCTGCCAACTAAGCAGGGCGAAGGTGGAGGGCACGACAACCGCATTCACTAGATCTTACCCAGGCTGAACCCCTACAGGAGATTTTAGACCAGGTATCTCCAACGCCGGTCCTCGTGAGCTACTGTCCTGCAGGTTTTACATGTTTCCGTACTGCAACACACTTGTCTCCAATTAATGGATCTCCAACAGCTTGTTGTCAAGTTCTACACAAGTCTGTTAATGATCCGTTAGTTAGAGTCAGGTGTGTTGCAGTACGGAAACGTCCAAAACCTGCAGGACAGTAGCTGAGGAGGACCAGAGTTGGAGATCCCTGTTTCAGACCAACGTGTTAGACAGCACCCTCACAATACCAAATGAGGGAATATCTTTAGACAGAATGGCGTTCCATCCTTCAGTCGAGTTCAGAAATCAATGTCGAGGTGCACTGAAGCTGTTCTGGTGGTAGGTGGACAATTTCTGCCAGTTTTTCCTTTAATTTGTCACCTGTCTGTCAGTGCTTAACAGCAATACGTGATAAAATACTCACTGTTACAGACAAAAGGATATTTGTTTGCACAGGAAACATCGTCCCACTGATTTTTGAAGGCCGTTGCGATCCGAGCACAGTTCTGTCTCCCTCCAGCGTCGTCAGGCATACCTTTGTGCCAGTTTCTGAAAGAGCCCGTGCTTTGGTCAGACCACGTCCAGGAGTCTCTGAACAGCCCGATCCAAACATATTTGTGTTGTCCACTCCTGTAGACGTTCACATGCTGCGCCTCAGTTGTCTCGCTGGCCAGATCCGTGTAATGCTGTCTGCAGAAGGTCTGAGCAGCTCTCCATGACATGAGTTTGGTATGGAGGGTGTAGTGTTCTACCCCATAGCTGTCATCTGGAACACAAGATTGGACTTGTATGGGTTATAGCTCAAAATCCATCCGTTACTCAGTGAGAAACACTTCTTTGAGGCTGCTGTTTATTGTCTTTGAGGGTTTTTTTTTTTTGGTAAGACTAGTAACTGTAAGTCAGTTTCCATCTATCAATGTGTCCAATGTGTCCAAAATATCAAGATATCTCAGGAACTAGCGTTTGGTTGAACATTTCTAGTGATTATTAAGGTCAGTAGAGAATGAATCCTATCGGCGACCCCTGAGCAGCCCTGGACTGCAACCAACATACCCACTGAAATTCAAATAACACCAAAATGTCATCTGCAGTATCCAATGCAATGGTGTGTGATTGTATTTACGGATGCTCAGAGGATGATCTCTTTCCCTCTCTGTGCATTTTTTACTGTCACTTTGCAGTTTTCTGTCTTTTTCCATCGTCTTTTTTTTTTAGTTTTTTATATTACAAAAATATTATGTTAAGTTTTAAATTATCAGGTTTAAGAAAAGCTCATGTTCTGCTCTTAAATACATCCATGCAAACGCTGTTCAGTTTACTTCAGCTTTCAGTTGCTGTCGTCTGTTGTTTTCATTCAGTGTTTGCTCGTGTTCCCTCGACAAAACTACTTTGTTAAGTTTAGGCATCAACAGTACTTGGTTACGTTTAGGAAAAGGTTACGGTTTGGGCCAAAATACTGATTCTAAACACCTAGCTTTGGTTGTTTTCTATATTTCTACGCTGATGAGTCTTGTCCCCAAAAAAGAAAGGCATCTCACAATTTTTCAGCCTCATGAAGATTTTGATTCCATTACTTCTCCTGTAGCAACATGAACATGTGTTGCTCAGCCTGCCTATTGCCAGTTTGCCCCGAGGAGATTTTAATGACATTTACTGATTTCATTCAGCACCCGCATCTGCAAACACTGACTTTTAGTTGTTAAAAATATCTATGTGTCAGCTGGTACTATTAACCCTTCACAATCCAGTTGGAAGAAATACCAAAACCTAGAGTACAGATAGCTTAGACATTAACTTTTACACTAACGTACTCTAACCAGAACACCATTAGAAGATCCTGTAACTTACATTTAAAGCAGACAAAAGCCCGCCCGAGGCTACAGCGGTCAGCGTTCCAGTTCCCTGCTGATCCCATAAACACACAGTCACCAGCGAATTTCGTGCTGCGCCACCTGGTAGCTGTAACTGTCCCAATGCCCTCAGACCACATCCACCGCTTCGTCTTTGATTTCGTCAGACCAAGCCAGACGCTGACATCCGTCCGGTTAATGCTCTCTAACAGTCGGACGTGGTCCTCCATGCTGTCGACGGTGGCCAGGTCAGCTTGGTTTGCTCTGCAGAAAGCTTGAGCCTCCTTCCAAGTCATAGGTGTTTCAAAAAACTGGTACAGACGATGGACTGTGGACCGAATTTGGAAATAAGACGTAGATGTTAATTTCATTTCAGTGTCTTTCAACCGATTTTTGTTTCTAAAAAAAACTCAACAGTTCCACTGAACATTGGTTTAAGGATTGTGGTTTTATTTATGCATTTTGAAATTGTGAATTCGTGATTTCTCCTATCTGGTTTTACAAAAGTGTGAGGTAAACCTATCAGCAATGAGTTCTTATAGCTGACACTAACTACCACTAAAATCCTATGGGGGAGTATTTTAATCATACATTTACATTACAAGAAAAGGGTGACACTTACTTGCAACAGGAACATTTACTAATTTACTATTTAACATTTTATAAACTAACAAGAAAAAGAACGTGTGTGTTTGTAGAGCAACCATCAAAGCCAGTTGGTTTCAGGTAAGGATAGCTGCTGCACTCTGTACTAGAGTCGTGATGAGACAAAGGCTTGAACAACAACGTCCCTGAAGCACAGAAATGGTCAAATCTTAATAGTACCTTTCAGAGGATTAAAACAAGACACATTTTTGTAGCAATGACACAGCTTTGTCAAAATTAAAATCGATAACAAAGTCGGCCAAACATTAACCACAGAGATCATGGGAATTATTCACCTTATGGAGAGCCCTATCACTTCAGGAATCCATCCATCATTTATACATCACTTAATCCTCACTAGGGTCATGGGGGGCTGGAGTCTATCCCAGCTGACTCAGGGTGAAGGCAGGGGACACCCTGGACAGGTCACCAGTCTATCACAGGGCTACACTTAGAGACAGACAACCAAGCACACTCACATTCACACCTACGGACAATTTAGAATCACCCACGCTGCACGGGGAGACCACGGAGACTCCACGCAGAAAGATCCTCACTGGGACGCGAACCGGCGACCTTCTAGCTACGAGGCAACAGTGCTAACCACTGAGCCACCTTGCAGCCACTTAAGGAATCCAGAGTAGAAATCTATGGGCAGAATTCTTTAACATCAAAGACGCCAGATGGATGTCCTGCCTCATCCTTAAATAAGCCAATCAGCTGCTGTATAATAGCCAAAGTGGCAGAAGTGGCAAGTCTGGTGTTTTGAAAGTACATGTATGCGTACCATGATGGTATCTGTGGGGTAAAATGCTCTTTAAACCTTATTTTCAGGCTAAGTCATCACCCTTTATAGGCAGTTGTTACCAGATGTGATGTAATGCTCTGCAGTTTTTATATCCTGGTGAAACATCGGTTGTGATTTGCTCCCCGTTCATTTAAATACAGGCCTGGAGTGGTGGAGACTTGCCTTCGAGGACATTGATATAACTGTACACGGCTTCTTCTACACGGCGATGAAAGGCGTTTCTGTTTCTGCACATGATGTAGCTAAAACAAAGCATATATAAAGAAAAAAAGGAAGGAAAACCCACTGTAAGGCCACGTTCCTGGGTCTGGTTATGAGGATAATCCACATTATGCATTATGCATTTAGAGAATTTTTGAAAACTTGATATGAGTTTTTCTAAAATATACTAATCCAAGAGAGATTCCAGAAGTTGTTTTACAGTTCTGGAGTTGAAGATCTTTACAAGTTTTGAAACTAGCCTCCAGTAAGTGCAGACAGAGGGGTGATGGTCAGGCCTGATGAGTAGAGGTTGGTTACATACGGTGTTGAAGTGTAGAGGAACACGGCCAGTGGCATAAGAAGTGTTTACTAAATCGAGCAGGCAGGGGGCAGCCACATCCCACACTTCTTATAAAATCAAGGCATCACCTGGACTAGAGGAGGGTTTTAAAAGCAGCAGTGTCCCACAGTACAGTTTTATACATTTACCAAAGTAAGACAATTGTATTTTGATAAAGAAATGCTTTTCTGAGTTTATGTGGAGTTTTAGGGGAAAACATCCCCATAATGGAAATGTAATCTGCCTCCAACGGGATAATATTGTATCCTCTACTGACCAGGAAAAGCTCGATCACTTGCTGCGGAGCATGTTCAGTTACCTGTGGTGCGTGACTCCGTCAAAACCTCTGCGGTTCTGGTTTCAGTCATCAAGAGCATTAGGAAAAGTCCTGCAATCCAAACAAGTAATTAGAATATGTTAAACTTCAACTTCAAGCAACTGCGTCCAATACTTCTCTACTTTTTTGGCTCATGAGCTAATTAATTAAAATACTGAGCGGTAGGAAGAATCCACTGCATTCAAAAATATGATAGAACTATTTATATGAATTGTAAAGAAACAGCAGTAAAGTTTTTCATCAATTAATTGTGCAATACAAGAAGCATTGATACGTATGTTTGCAAACTGATTAATCTGTATATAAGCTCCACAGTAATTCATCATTTGATACTGCACTGGGAAATAAATTCAAGAAGCATTTTCAGCTTAAAACATTTAATAAATACAACCCATAAAAATACCTTCTGGAATCCGTTAATAAAAACAGTTCTACCTCTATTTGAAATGCAGGCTTTCTATCACACATTTTAAGTAAGCATTTCCCTTCGTGTTTGCATTTCCATTTCCCTGCTGATTTCCCTGTTAGCTATAAGATTTGTTTAGTCACTTAGTCTCTCCCTTAAGCCTCTTACTGACACTTTGGGCCCTGCACTCGTAAAATGAGGTAGAACAATGCAAATTAACGAGCTCGCTGATTGGCTTTTACCTCATGTGCGTCGCAGGATTTCGCAATAACTCAGGAAACGTTTTAACACTTAAGTGTCCTCGAAATGCCCGATTGTCTTAAGTTTTCGCTCAACGGAAGCAACTTCATCACAGCTATCTATTGTGTCGCTCCGTGTGTAGCTCCAATCATCCAAAGAGCTTTTGACATCCCATAGTGTTGTTTTACCTGATCTGAGTTCAAAAGGAAGAAGCTGAACTCATAAGCAAATCAAATTGCAAAAGGAAAAGCAACATGGAAATTGAAATTCAAATGGGGAAGGATGCTAAATTGGGGGTGCGAACACGTACAGTCGTCCTCCAATGTATTCATCCCCTTCCATTAAATAAAAAGCAAAACTCACAACAGTCGCTCAAATAACTAGAAACTGAAAAAGTAATAATAAATAAAAATTTGCTAAATTCTAATGTAGTGAAATAAGACGTTGCTTTTGAATTGTGGTTGAAAAGAATAATTTTAGAAAACAAACAAAACTGTCAAATTAGAGCTCTTTGCTGATGAGCGGTGAGATCAGAACACCTGTCAACAGGTGCAGGAGTCTGACTGAGAGTTACAGAAAACACCTGATTGGCTCAAAGGGTTGTTCAACTAAACATTAGTTTACGGGTCCCATCAGGCTTGTTTGCTTTTTTTTTTTATATTTCTGTTGAACCACAATTCAAAAGCAATGTCATGATTTTCATAAATGTTTTATTTATCATTATTTTTGTCAGCTTATTTCAGCGACAGCTTTTTTTTTAATGGGAGGGTATGAATACATTTGAGGACGACCGTATGTCATCCTATATTCTTAGTTCAATATGTAACTATTTCATTTTTAGCAAGACATGTTTAAAATATAATTAATCTGTTTATGTTCAATCAACCTGCACCTTAAATTACACCTCCTGTAAATACTTAAACACGCTGCTAAAGTCACGTACAGTCACTTTGCATCTCTGCACCACTTCAGGTGCATTAATGTTAACACGATATTTTACTTTATTACTGAGCATATTCCAATTTTAACTTTGTCTATGCTATTTTAACCACTTCATGGCTGCTACTACTATTGTACAGTTGCTGTGTACCTTTGATTTGCCCATTTGAAATGAATGACTTTAATCATTTTAGTGGTGTCCTCAGATATTATTATGGCACTACGAGAGCTTCCCACCTTTGACGTTGCTCTGCTCTACGTGCTGACTTTAAATACTCTTAGCATCTGTAGTTTGTTTAGGTCAAACCTCGTCGCAAACCAAATTTAGAACATTTACAAGCAGAGAGAGAAACCAATGCACTGCACTGTTTATTCCACGAGGCCGCAATAACAATAGAACTTTTTTTTTTTTTAACGTTTGCCGAAAATGAGTGAGCTTCTTTAACACACTGAGCCAATAATGTTGAGTTAATAATGAAAATAACAGAATGGTGATGACGCCTACATAATCACAGTATCATATTAATGCCGTGTTATTTTCTGTCTATTTTGTTACGAAGCTTGATCTTTGAAATTCTAGATGCGTTTCAAAACTAGCATGTGATATTGTCATTATTTATTTATTTAAACTTATTTTGGTGGTCACTCTTCAAGATTTACCTGCACAAACAGCAGTTGTACGATCCATGGCTGCAGAAGTAGAAGAAAGTTTGTACAAAACATCTCATTAAATAAAAATCTCGAGAAATTCTGAAATGACAAGTACGATTTAAAATTCAAAAACAATATTGTTTTATCAGTCGAATGTCTACTAGAACAGCACCAACCAGTGACATTAATTCATCTACAGTAATTGTTAATGACGGAAGTAGTGAAAACATACCTGACATGATGCGTCCGCCGCGGCTTGCCTCTGCAGCTCTGCACCTTCTGTGGATGGAGGAATAAAGTTATTCAACTTATATGCAAACTCACAATGATGGAATGGATTGGCTTGCAGTGGTAGGATGGTGACGTAATCGGTGTTTAAGTGCACTACGAAAGATTTAAACTGCCGATGTCATCAGGAAAGTCTGAAAAATCACATCAGACGTCAAGAGAATTGTTTAAATGATGATATTTCACTGATGTTTCTTCTGGAGTCAAAACATAAAAGTGAAAAAAAAAATCCCAATATAACTCAGGATTGAATTACATTTAATGAAAATGAAAGATCTTACCTTCATCCTGTTTTAATAAGACATTATTTATGGTTGACGTTACAGCAACAAAACACACACAAAAAGATCCCAAATCACACTGAACGAGTCAAATTGTATTTTAAAAATCTCCAACAACAGCCTGATACAAAATCACAGAACTCTTAAGACGACAAAACTGAATATTATGCACCAAGCTTCAAGCAACCAATAAGCATACGAGTATATGTGTGGACATGTATATGACATGTTTGCAGATGTAAATACGTAACAGAAAAAGAAAAAACAAAGGACAGACTTCTTTTAGAGTTAAACATTTTGTCAACTTGAGCAAGAAAGTCAGGTCGGTTATTGATTTAATTAATAAATAAGTGTAAAAATATATTTTTAAGTTAGATTCAAGAAGATACATTCAACATTATGAAGCAAGACACTATGAATAATAATGACACATAACTCCACTAAAGCTAGCCCTCAAAGGACCAAATGTCTTTGTTTTTAGCAGTACAATTGAATCCACTTTAACACAAAATTTCTGCAGGAAGACGCAGCAGATGATGGTCAGCCAATCCTGGAAATAGAAAAAAACAAAAAACAGCTTTTTAGTCAATTACAAAAATGAATTTCACCTTTTAAAAGAAAGCTGATTGGAGTACAGCTGAATACCGACACAGGATTTCTACTTCTAGTCGGCTTTGCAAACTTAAGAGGTGGCTGTTTTGTTTTTTTGACAAATAAATCTCATAAATAACTGTAAAACTAAATGTGTTGGGTCCCTACAAACAGTTTCTCCTCTGCTAGGAGACTCAAATACAGTATTCTACGGCTGCAAGGAGTCCGAGCCGACCAAAAAGGAAGCAGAGAAGAAGAAGGAGCCAAAGTGCAGCGTACTGTAAAAGGTAAATCATGGTGGCGGGGATGTGTGGTCTACAGGTGGATACTGTTGACTTGCACCACAACCCACGACGCCTTTAATCAAATTGGGCTTGTCGTCGATGTGGTTCAGTACTCTCAGTACCTGGCGATTCGCTGAGGTCTTGTTTAGCTGGAGTGTGACGTAGTGGAGCCTTAGATCCCCTCCTCCCAGTGTTACAACACTCCAATGTGATAATAAACTTTAATTGCATGCATCGTTAACGCACCTGCAGGAGTTTCCTTTGGCGTGGTCGTAGGTCGCAGTCATTTCTGTGTGTAGCCTAGGAAGCCATTGACAGCAGCACACACACACAGATGTTATGTGACACATGTTCCTGGTTCGTACCCAAAAACGATCAAATCATCAAACAATCCCGTGTGATGAGTTGAACTTTTTAAACCAGATTGTAAAGACATGTTTGTATACTAAGTAGCCTGGCCTCCTACTTTGGCTTTGACCCGACACAAAACCCCATTTACAGCCACAAACTGACATTGTCAATCTTAGTTTTTAAATTAATGTAATGTGTTCATGTGTGAGCTTTGCAGGGGTCACGAGTAGAAGTTTGATACCTTTGGACGGAGCCACGCTTGAAATTTGTAAATGAAAAAGCTGCACTTACCTGTTTTCTGAGGGATCTCCTGCTCCTCATGATGCTGAAAGACGAGTCCACGTTTCTCACTTCGCCAGCTGAGTTGGAAATCAGTCACATGCTGAAGTCTCAGGTTTGTCACGAACTGAGGACACACACCAACGTTACACAGACAAGGCCTTGTTGTTTTCATTGTCACACTGTCTAGTCTGCAGGGATACAAGACTTCACCTCCCCACTAACGTGTCAGTAAAATCCTCTTAAAACCTAAAACATGAATTCATCTATGTACTTAACTTCTCATCTCAAAAGAGGAAATAGTAAGAATTTGATGACAGATTTAAATGTCGTCTGCAGTATCATATTCAGATGCAAATGTCCACATTGTGTAACTTCATCAGGTATTTTTGTACCTTCTTCAGGAGCGTCTCGCTGATCGTGGAGTCCGTCAGATCCACATCAGAATGCACCTTCATCCTCACCACCATTTTCTTTATCTTAAGATCTGCAGAATCCCAACACAGTCATACTTACTTTGTTTTTGATTCATGTATTTCAATCTAAGTCATAAAAACAAGACAAACAACTGAACTCTTGAGTGGACCTTCATCCTCCATCAGTGTCATTTCAATTAGCCATTTCTCATTTGTCTTCTTTACTAACTATGGCAGCAAAGGTTCTCTAACCATATCATCCTTAATTTAGCCCAAACCAGTCTTTCCCTAAACCTAACCAAGTTTTTGTTTGTGCCTAAACCTAATCAAATATCTACCACATCACTTTTTAAAAAGAAAAGGCAGTGCTTCTAAGTGGGGTTGAACTGGACAAGCAACACTGCGGAGAGACGGACTCAAAGTCATTTTTGTCATTTCAATTTTTGAATATGTCACCAGTTTATCCAAATAATGCCTATTTTAATGACTGTTCCAATTATTTAAACGATGTGAGATCCTTTAACGCAGGGGTCTCAAACTCATGGCCCGGGGAACGATATTTTGTGGCCCCCTTCTTGACATTGAAGTTTAGTGCTAGTGTGAGCTGCACATTTTTTCTCACATGCACCTATGTGAGTCGGTGCCCTGGGCGTTTTAGATTTTTTATCAGTTGTGGGCCACCACAGCTCCGGCTCGTGACAGCAACGCGAATTAGCCACGGTAGTCACCTGAAATGTGATTTGGAAGTGTCGCCGAGTGGAGGGAAAATATATCCTGTCATCCAGCGCAAATTTTTTTGTTTTTTTCCATCTGTGTGAAAAGGTCTTCTCCACCATGAGCTTTAATAAGTCAAAGTACAGGCCCAAACTTACTGATGAGCATCTTCAAGCCACACTGAGGGTCTCAGTTCTCCCTCAAGCCAAATGTGGCTCAGCTGTGTCAGAGGAAGGAGTCGGTAAGAGGAGCTTATGTCCTGAAGAACCTTTTATGTTCAGAATTGTTGTTAATAAAGGTTGAGAAGATTGGATCAGTTGTACTTTTTCTGGAACACTTGAAACCCTTTTTTTGTGGAATACTTGACGCGGCCCAGTCTCTATCTCCAGCGGCCCCCGGGTAAGGTGAGTTTGAGACCCCTACTTTAACGTATTTGCTTTTTACTCTTGCAGGTGTTTTGTCCTCAGAGGCTCCAGTAGAGTGGAAACAAACAGCAAACACATGACAGACATTCTTTTCATGGCAACGTCTTAGGAAACAGTTGATAAGTTATTCCTTTTCTCCTTCAAGAAGTCATGCAATCTGATGTTAATATAAGAATATTACTACTTCCTAAAACTTTCAATTTAATTACAAAACACACAATTTCATTTCTACGCCCGTGTCACTAGATGTAACTTCACTGCTGAAAATGTGGACGTGCTCAGTCATCTTCTCCAGAATAAGAAACTGGTTCCATGTCTAAGAATTCATTCATCCATTTTGCATTTCAGGAACTCACCTCCCTGACAGACGAACATGAACTTCTCGTTACAGTTTGATGCGACCCAGCGTCCCTGCCGACTCCCTGCAACAGAAGCACAGTTGCCCCCATGATTTGCGCCTCTCAGCCAGAACCTGAAGGAGGTTTTTCCTCCATCCGACCAGATCCAGGGGTCACTGAACACACCGACCCACGCTGTGTTGTGCACCCCGAAAAAGCCTGTCCATGTTTTCACCATATTCATAATCTCTGAGTTCTCCTCCTCCGTCCTTGCGTAGGCCATGTCAGTGTGCTTGTCTCGGCACAGCTCCAGACTGCTCTCCCAGCTTTTCTGCTCCGAGTAAAACACAAACTTTGGCTTACCGTTGTGTTGACCTAAAGAGACAGACGAGAAGACGCCAGGAGTCGAGCAAGATATTAGGAGAAGGTCAAATCAGTACCTTCACATCATATAGGAGGTGGCAGCAATGAAAGGAAAGCATCAGTCAGTTTTCACTGAAGAAGCTGAAAAAAATGCAATATGAAGTCCCATTGAGTCTCATACTTTTTCTCTTATAAGCCCATAAAGTAAATCCATCCATCATCTATACACTGCTTAACCATCACTAGGGTGGTGGGGGGCTGGAGTCTATCCCAGCTGACTCAGGGTGAAGGCAGGTTCACCTGGACAGGTAACCAGTCTATCACAGGGCTACACTTAGAGACAGACAACCAAGCACACTCACATTCACACCTACGGACAATTTAGAATCACCAATTAACCTCAATATGTTTGTGGACTGTGTGGGAGGAAGCCGGAGAACCCGGAGAGAACCCACGCTGCACGGGGAGAACATGGAGACTCCACGCAGAAAGATCCCGGGTGTCCTCACTAGGACGCAAACCGGAGACCTTCTAGCTGCGATGCAACGGTGCTAACCACCTTGCAGCCCCATTTAACTTGTCGCCAATTCAAAATTTAGATTTCAAACAGGTGCACTGCCCTTTGAGCGCAAAAATGACATGTTCAAACATGAGGTATTGTTGAAAATAATCTGACAAAACCTCAGAGGCTTGAACCACGTGAGAACAAGTGAGAGGAAGCAGTGAACCAGAACCCAATTAGCATGGCTAGAAGTCTCATCTGCATTTTGTGCTACTCAGCTGCTCATCTGAAATAAAGATCAATGCTTTTTCTCCAGCATTACTAATGTAAACCAACATGTAACACCATCATAGTCCAGTGTTTTGTTCAGCTCTGAGGTTTAAATGCTGCCACATAGATTTTACATTCTCACAACTTTCATCAGCAACAAAATGCACTGAATGTGTGATTTACTCACGCTCGTAACACACAAAGTTTTTTTCCTCTGCACACGAAGCATCATTCCATGTGCCTGTGGAAGACGTCTCTGCGCACCATTCATCGGCTGAAGCGTGGTTTGGTTCCCCGTCGTTCCACTTGGTGAAGCCCACTCTGCCGCTGCCATCGGCCCACATCCACCTGTAGCTGGCTCCTGTGTGAAGCCCGATCCAGGTGGAGGTCACACGTCCGCGCAGTGCGTTGACCAGCTTGTTTTTGTCGTCCATGTTGTTCACAGTGGCCAGGTCGGCGAACTTAACCCTGCAGAACCTCTGAGCCTCGTGCCAGCTCAGGGAGATATTGATGAAGCGGTACTGCTGAGGCACTTTGGGGGAAAGTTTAGATAATTTTCAGAAATGCAGTCAGTCTTCTTCTGATGGGAAACATTACAGACAAACAGCATCAACAAAGAGGACCAAGGCTGTCCTGAGTGACTGCAAAACTAGAAAATACAGTCAACCTTTAAGAGTTTTGAGCAAAAGCTACATGTTTGTGTGCACAAAACTCAGCAATAGACACGAAAAGACGCCAAAAGATGTGTGTTTTTTTTTATAGCCACTGACATTAAAATATGTAAAACTCATATATTATTATCATCTACATTTGTATGATTAAGTTTGGTGAAACAATAAAAATGTGTTTTATGTTTGGTTGGAGACACCCAACACATAGGTAATCAGGTTTGTTGAATCACACTTCAACTTTAATCCATCCATCCATTATCTATACACCTTAACCCTCACTAGGGTCGTGGGGGGCTGGAGTCTATCCCAGCTGACTCAGGGTGACGACAGGAGACACCCTGGACAGGTAAGATAGATACAACTTTATTGATCCCTTTGATATGAACCTCAGGGAAATTGCTGATAAGATGTCGATGAACTAAGGATGCAAGTTAACAGTGGCAACATCATATAAAGGCTTTAAAAATAAATATGATCAGTTCAAAATCAGCCTACAAGATTAAAGTTTTGTGTACATTTGCATTGATCTTACGGCCACATCTGCCAGTGGGCTATCACGAGACTTCCCCGCAATTAGTCTGAAAATGCATTTGTATATATCAGCATACTTGTGCTGAGCAGGTACTTACTCAGACCAGCACTGATCCTCGGAAACCAAAGCAGAGTCCCTGTAAAACCAGCACTGTTACTTTCCATTTTTTAACAGCCATTAAAGTCGGTTTTATAGAAAAAGAAAAATAAAACTGATGCTCCACTAATCACACTTACCAATGAAGGGGATCACACTTTGTAGCTGCACCATGTGTCTGTAAAAAAAAGTAGAATAAACAATTCAAACAGTCGAAGTAATAATTTGTATGACTGTGCGTATTTTTAGCAAGCATGACCTCACCCGTTTTGTTCAATCTTCTACCACAGACTCTGTAAGAAAGCTTGCTTGTGTGTTTAAAACATTCAGTTCATGGAAATCTGGTCAATTTTTCCCATCCTTTCATGCAAAACCCCCATCAGCAGACATGGAGAGAAAAGAACAAGATTTGGTTATCAATGGTCCTTGGACATCCTGAGGTTATACGAGCTCATTTGGTTGCCCACCTTTGTGTTAGTAAAATCACACTTCACGTAGAAAACATTCAAACCTTCAAAATGAGAGACTGCATCCTGCTTCAGTGCTGCTAATAACTGATGTGATTTGATGTGACTTCCAGTATTTGAAATAACGTGTTACCAGATTATGGCCTTGAAAGATATGACTGAATACAGCAAAAGACAGATTTTCTATCAGTGGCTCCCACCTGATCCCCTCAGAATCAGCTGGGGGGGGGTTTCTACAATAACTTAGTACATTTGATTAAGCAGTTTTACCTTCATTCTAAAAACACTTTCTGATATACAGTTATTTTTCAAGTATTTTTAAGCCCTTATAACTTCATAGGTAGAGGAGATAGACAGTTTCCAGTGCTGTGTTTAGGGAACATGAGAAGAAGAAAAACATTAAATGTGTTACAATCCACAGAAACGCCTGTATTTTACAACTCAAACAGGTTGTTTTCAATTGTAACAAACTCACAGACATAGACTGAAGTGTGACGACACACTGCTTTTGGAAAGAAGCCCGAAAGACCGGAGACCAGCGGTTTCCCTAATTTAAAAGCTTGAAGTAGCATCCACTGTGTGAAATCTACATCTTCAGTTACCTGATGCTTTCAATATGAGAAGAAAGAACAAAAAACAAAGGTTTGATCATTTGTTGGTGAGTAAAGGATCATTTTAACATGTACTTCAATATGTGAGAAGTTTAGAAGTGAAGTCACCACATGGTGGAGCTGATACTAACTCATAAAATCTGAAATGTGTGCTCAGCTGCATTCTCTGTAAGAAGCCAAAAAGGCTGAAAACCACAGATTTAAACTTGTTGAAAGTTTGTTATATGAGCCATTGTGTAAACTGTAGGATAAATGTAGTAACAATAAAGTGATTAAGAAGGCGAGCTCCATCATTGGGGTTGAACTGGACACCGTTCAGCAGGTGGACTCTCCAGTAAGCGATGAAGCCCACCCACGTCATGTCATGGAGGTGTTTCAGCAGAGCACCTTCAGACACAGACTGATTCCTCTAAAATGTAGGACTGAACACAGCAGGAAGTCCTTCCTGCCAGCTGCCGTCAGACTTTGTAATGTGCAATAAAAACCCCATGCTTGCATAACTGACACTTTATGTACATACGCTATAAAATCCATCTTTGCACGTTCTAACATTTGCACACGGGGTACCTACTTGTTGATCTTATTTTTTATTTCATATTGTATAATTTGTTTTATAATTTAAGTGTGCCTTCAGTGCCGGGTGTCTTGTGGGGTTGTCTGTGTTTTAATTGTAGCTGCTGTAACAGTAATTTCCTGTGAAAGGATCAATAAAGTACGTATCCTCTCCTATCCCAGTAAAAACAGAAAGCACAATATTTAGCTGAGAAATGCTGTTAAGCGGACGTATAAACAAAATAAAACGGAAATACTCACGTCCACGTAGTTTTTGATTTGACTAAATGTACGTAGATACTTTCTACCATTGAAAACCGCCAATTTCTCGTGTTCCTAAGGATGTGAGACAACATCCTAACGTGACAACTGAAGGGTTTCTCACGCTGTCATTTTTTATCAGGTAACACTGAAATGAGACTTGCATCCAAGGGTGCACTAAATAGCCACAAGGGAGGTAATGTTTCTTTACCAATGTGTCACAGAGTAAACCTAAAAGAAAAACTACCACCAATATAAATAGAGGTCACTTGTTTGTGTTTTCATCTTATCTGTAATCCAGTGAGAATAATCCAGATCCAGCAAATTCAGCTCCTAGGACTGTAGTCTTCCTGCTCCCTGAGCCTCGGCCCCATCGTTCTCTAGCAGAGAGAAGCCATACACAAAACACCATATGTACAGTATTAATTTACAGTATGCTATAAAGTCCCCCTTATCATCACTGCTTACTTGTTTACAACAGAAACACAAAACTGCAAATTCAAAAACCTTCCATAACAGGACACAGTTTCAGCTAGCAGCAAGTCCACGTTATCAGATCTCATTAACTGACATATCTTGGTTATATTTTACTGCCAAGTCAGCTACAAAACAAACATTTTTCATTTTCGTGTTTTTTCCGTTTCACATTCAGTCAGCTAGCTGTTAGCTTGAGGCGACATCGGTTTTTAAGCTAGCACCGTCAAAGACTCACCGGAGAAAACTCGACAGAATTAACACCAAGCTGCTCTTTTTTTTAACTCTTCCAGTGGACAAGACATCCCATTACACTTAACTTTACCTCAAAGCGCTTATATCCACGTTTACGCAGTAAAAAAAACAACTGGGTTTGTGTCTTAAATGCTAGCTGGTGGTGGCACCAAACTCTTCCTCTTCCTCGTTCCCGAGAAGAAGCGCGCTCTCTCCAGGCGACCAGCGCCCTCTAGTGGACATTTCGGGGAACTGCAATAATAAACCGACCAGAAAATTAATCTCCTCACTCACATTTATGCAGGTTACAGTCTGGAAATAAAAGCGCCAGTGGTGGAAAAGACACTTTAAATGCTTGTGAAGTGAACGTACCAGTACAGCAATATTTAAATAGTTAATTACAAGTAAAGAAATCCTGCATTAAAAATTGCAAAACTTCATGAAAAATCCCCCAAAGTGTAGCTAAAGTATTAAGCTTAGAGGGGTTTGGAGTCTCTGACTGATGTATTATTATATCTGACATCTTTAGATTAATAATAGTGAAGTATCAGTATGTCAGCAGAAGGTTATTGTTGGATATGCTGCAAGTTTAAACTACTTTATCTCTCATGGGTTTTTTCTAATCTTTTGATTTTTGCATCATTTGAGCAGATATTAAACTACAAATACAGTGGAGCTGTTAACACCTCACAGACGTCTGAAATGTGACCACAGAAGGCCAAACAGGTTGGAAACCACTTGCTAAATCCTATTCAAAGCTTGTTGTATCATCCACAGTGTAAAATCTTCATCTTAAGAGTAAAGCTTTCGAATAAATGGCAGAGAAAGTAAATATCTCCCTCTATAAAGTGGTGGAGTGGACGCGTGAACAGCATAAAATGTAAATAGTCCAATACAATACTTGACTAAACATCTTTAGTTACCTTACACCAGCTTCTCATGTTACTGAGCTTGTGAGACAGTATTCATTTTCATAAGTTTGCACTGAAATAAAATTTGCATGTCAGGGTGAACAAAACAGCCTTGAGAGAGGTAACCTGTTTCTGCCGATCAAATTTCGGCTTGTCTTCTGAGAAAAGGCTGCGATTGTGATCACAAAAGAAAACATATCACAGAGTCGATTGTCACTTTTGCCTGGAGATGTTTCTGACCTGCTCCATAAAAGATTCCCATCACCATGACACTCGTGAAACCATGGTAGGGTGTTGTCTCAGTTTTTATGACGATGGTGATACTGCCCTGTTGCATCGTAAAACTGTAGACAGGCATTATATAGACAGTCCGCTCTCCCAAATGCTGCAACTACCAGAGCTGGCTTTTTGTCAGGACTCCTAAACGTGTAATTTGTGTTAAATATTAACATGGTGAAATTAGATGGCAAACATTGGAAGTTTTATAACCTTCTAGGCTACACAACAGCAGATTGGCACCGTAGCACTGAAACTCTGGCTCACAGACCTGCATGTAATATTCACGTCTAAGTGTGGTGATAATTAAGGTTTTCTATTTCATCCCCAAACAAGAGAATAGAACATCAGTCCTGCCCACTTGACCTGTTTGTTAAAGATTAAACCATCTTAAAAATTCTTCCTGATGTGTGACCAAAGATGACTTCAGTCGTAAAGTTTCCTTAT